GTGGGGGCTACTCGCCCCGGGGCTATTGCGCCGGCCACTTGGCCTGCACGGCGGCGGCGGCGGGGGCTGCGGGCTGCAGGAACTGCCCCGCGATGATGTTGGTAGGCACGCTGAGGATGGGGGCGATGGCGGCGGTGGTCCTAGCCAGCGCCAGCGGTTGGTGGGCCATCAGGGCCGACTGCACGGTGACGGGCGGTCTCAGGAAAGTCTGGGCGCTGGCGGCCGAGCTGGCGGCGGGGACGCCGATGATGTTCTCGATGCTGAAAGAGGGGCGGCTGCTGGGCTCCGACTTGACGATGGAGCCGGCGGCCCCCAGGCTGTTGAGCTGCAGCTGGAGGCTGGGGCTGAGCTGGGAGTTGAAGGCTTTGCGGCTGAGCTCGCTGGACGGCAGGAGCGGCACGGCGGGCGGCAGCATGGGCCCCACCGGGGGGGTGTAGGGGTACTGCAGCGCGGCGGCGGCGGCCGCCGGGTGGGTGTAAGCGCCGGGGTGCAGCCCGTAGGGGCGGCCGTAAGGGCCGGCGAGGCCGTAGGCGCCGAAGCCCTGCATCATCAGCGCCGTCTGGTCCCGCAGGTGCTCCTGCTGGTGCCGCTTGAAGCGCTTCCTGCGGCGGAGGAAGCTGCCGTTGTCGAACATGTCCTCGGACTGAGGGTCCAGCGTCCAGTAGTTGCCTTTACCGGGGTTCCCGGGTTCCCGGGGGATCTTGACGAAGCAGTCGTTGAGGGAGAGGTTGTGGCGGATGCTGTTCTGCCAGGCGGGGAACTTCTCCCGGTAGTAAGGGAAGCGGTTGCTGATGAACTCGCAGATGCCGCTGAGCGTCAGCTTCTTCTGCGGGCTCTGCAGGATGGCCATGGTGATGAGGGCGATGTAGGAGTAGGGCGGCTTCACCAGGCTGCTCTTGGGCTTGCTCTGCCCCGCCGCCCCGCCGCCGCCGCCGCCGCTCGCGCATCCCCCACGCAGCCAATCGACCCGCCCGTCACTTCCGGCCGCCGGAGGAAGCGCCGCCTCGCTGCCTAGCAACCGCCGGGCGTCGCGGCGGGATGTCAGAGGGCGGCGCCCCCGCCGCCGCTAGAGGGCGCTGAGGGAGCGGGCAGGGGTGG